TTTTTTTTTAAAGATTTATTTATTTATTTGAAAGTCAGAGTTATACAGAGAAAAGGAGAGACAGATTGGGGGCGGGGGGGAATCTTCCATTTGCTGGTTCGCTCCCCAATTGGCCACAACAGCTGGAGCTGAGCCGATCTGAAGCCAGGAGCCAGGAGCTTCTTCTGGGTTTCCCACGTGGGTGCAGGGGCCCAAGGACTTGGGCCATTTTCTATTACTTTCCCAGGCCACAGCAGAGAGCTGGATCGTAAGTGGAATAGCCGAAACTTGAACTGGCACCCATATGGGATGCTGGCACTGTAGACAGTGGCTTTCCCTGCTACGCCACAGCGCCAGCCCCAAGAATATCTTTATCATTCTCTCTTTGCCTCTTTCACTTTCTTTCAAATAAAATGAAAAATTAAAAGTTCAAAAACATCTGTTATCACACTAGAGCCAGCCCTCTGCTGTGGCCCGGGAGTGCAGTGGAGGATGGCCCAGGTGCTTGGGCCCTGCACCCCATGGGAGACCAGGAAAAGCACCTGGCTCTTGGCTCCTGCCATCGGATCGGTGCGGTGCGCCGGCCGCAGCGCGCCGGCCGCGGCGGCCATTGGAGGGTGAACCAACGGCAAAGGAAGACCTTTCTCTCTGTCTCTCTCTCTCACTGTCCACTCTGCCTGTCAAAAAAACAAAAAAACAAAAACAAACAAAAAAAAAAACACTAGAGCAGTTTTTTAACTTGTGATATTTCTAAGAATGAAATATAATTTTTACAGATCATGATTATTTCTGTCTTTCATGCCCAGCATAAAGCCTGTTAGAAGTTAAATTTTATTATTACTCTAACATACTACTCAGCCTCACGCCCAGTCTTAGGTCAAAATTTGACCATAACTGTAAAAATCACAGAATTTAGGAAGTGAATGTATTCTTAGAGCTGTGATTTCAGCTTTTCTTATTTTTTCCTGTGAATCACTGTTATTTTCTAATAATGTTAAAATTGCCTGTTTTATTTTATGACTATATTGTATTTGGCATAACAGTGATCATTCATGGTAAATTTAAAAGGAGCTTAAAAACTATCTCTTTTGAATTAACCTTTATTGCTGTGGTTGATAACAAAAGGTACAGGGCTAACAGAAGAGTATCAAAAGGCAGATAAAATGTGTCCTAATTTCTAGATCATCCAGCTGACTGTGGTCCAGATCTCAGGAATTTTGGAACATGCTCCATCACTTTGACATTACTATACTCTCCAAGCCTGACCTCACAGAACTGTGGGAGTTAGGAGTCCAGGGTCCTGCTTTCTGACTTGACTTTGATTACGTTTAAAGGCCAACCTAGAGAATACATGCAGAACGTGTTGAAAAGGCAGAAGTTAGTGCATGGGAATAGCTGTAACATGTTATCAGCAATCCGCTGGTTATTTTTCTTCTGTTGGATGGGACAAAGAATAGTCACTAAATACCTAACATGAACTGTTTTTCTTGACAATTTTTGCATTTCGAGGTTATTTCCCTCAAATTAGAATGCATGAGGAAAATCTGGTTAATCAGTGGTTCAGATTGGTGGGCTTTTGTTAATGAGAAGTTTTACTGTATAATGATAATGTATTTTGGATGTTCTTAATTACGTTATCTCTTTTGTGTGGGCATTCCGATTAGTTGATTACAACTGCCTACCATAATGGTTTTAAAACAGTATTTATTATGAAATTCTTCCATCTTAGCAGTGAAATTAGAATATGGAAAGACATGTGATAGCTGAGGCATGATTGTTTCCTTTGCCTTTACTTTGTGTTTAGGGGCTTCCATGTTTGGGATAAAGAGAAATGAATGTGACTGTCGCTCTGGTTCAAGTTCAAGATGATTAGTGTGGAGACCAAGTGCTGAGGTCGTATAAAAATTTGTGGAAAATGAAGTTAAAAGGGAGCTTTTCTTTATGAGGGAGGTCTTCAGAAAGTTCATGAAAAACGTGTATTACGGAAGAACTGTGTATTCATTTCAATTTCTTTGGGTACCAAAATGAAGTCATCTTCTAATTCCATTTTTCTGTTACCTTTTTGAAGTACTCTGAAGTGTGAAGTTGTGGAACACTTCCACTTTTCATGTGTTTTACACAGCTAGAGTTTTGCATAAGGTTTTTTTCTTCATGAAAATAAGGTCCTTTTAAAACTAGGCACAAACATTGGATGAAATACACCTTCGGAGTACCTCTATGGCTGAAGAAGTTTCTTATCGAGCATCCTGCCATTTGTAGCGCTTACAGTAACAGGCGTTTGGGTTTCTCTGCTACTCTTTGGAGTACTGTGGACCTGGGTGTCGTCTTATTCTAGTCTCCTCTTTTTCTCAGGACTTCTGGCCAGCGGAGAAAAACTTAGAATCGTGGCTCTCAGTTCAGTCTTTACACAGTTCTCGATGGCATTCAGGACCTGCTGCCCCGCAATATGCCAGCTTGGTATATTGAGTATTTCAAGCTGAAGGAATTTGGGAAATCAGCTGAGGCAGGAAGGTCTCTTAGCTTCTCCTGCCCTTCTCTGTGGGGAGCAACTGGGAGCAACTTGGACTAGACTAAGTTACTGGAATTAAGACTTATTCTATGCATCTGCTCTCCCACAATATGGCGCTGAGAAGGGAGTAACAACTTCTACGCAGCTGCCTCTAGCCAATTTGATTGACTGAGCTGCAGGAGCTGATCTTGCTCCTGATTGGAGGAGAGCAGTGTACTCGGCATGTGGGTAGCAGAGTTGGGATTGGTGGAAGAGGACTGTAAAGGAGGAGAGAGACAACATGCACCAGGAACATTTAAGGGGAACATCTATCTGAAGGAACACCTGTGCAGCCCCCGAGAGAGCCGGCCGGCGGTGTGCCGCTCCCCCGCGGAAGTGGGGAAAGTGGCCAGGGGGAACCGCCCTTCCACGGAGGTGGAAGGGATGGTAGCCAACCCGGGAAGAACCAGCAGCAAACCCGGGGAGGGCCGAGCAGACGAAAGAACAGCGCAGGGTCCTGTGTCGTTCCTCCACGAAGACGGGGAGCGACACTTCTCCCTTAGCGTAGGTCATCACACCTAGCAAGGATTTTGTGACTTTCCCCTGAAACTGGTTAAAAGACCATTTTGTTAGAGGGTTACCCCTGTACCTGGAGGAAAGGAGCGTTCTTGTCTCTAAAGATAAAGGGACACAGACATCCAAACAAATAGGCTTGCTTGAGTTTCCTCCTATTTCCTGCACTCAGTTACTCTTAACCTTTGTCTTGTCATTTCCATATGACTGACCACTCTTCATCAAATCTGTATTAAAAAATGCTCAAGTTTACTTGTTTCTTTGGGTCTTCATTTTTTTTTAATGAAGGTTTGCATGATACAGAAAAAGCAAACATCGGAAGTTACATGCTTTCCTTTTATTGTGATAAGTATCCCAGCCATAGACATAGAAGGATAGATGGAAAGTATTTTTCGTTCCCTACGTTGTTTTATTTAATCCTTCTAGCAAACTGGTAAAACAGCTGTCATCCCCATTCTTACCCGAAGAAATGGAGACTTCAGACTTAGCAGCTAAAAAAATTCCCTTTTCTTCTGACTTGCTTTTGGGCAGTAGGGCAAGTAATTATGAGTTTAAAGGTATTGGCTTTTGTATATATTTTCTCTGAATATTTTTGTCTACCACTTTTCATTCCTTCCCATGTCTGCTGTCTTTAAAAATGCATATCTCAGGCTGTTGTTGTCGTACTGCCTCTGTATTTGTCTTTTGGACCTGGGTACTAACTGCCGCACAGGCATCTCAGCTGAGCGTGTTACCTCTTCATGTGTTACATTGTCTTGTGTTGGTTCCTTGTTCTACTTGTTTCCTGCTCTGGGTAGGTTTAATCTTCTTGGACCATAGGGCTGGGAGAATGATCAAAACTACATGCTGCTCACGTCTTCAAGAAAATGAGGCTCCTTTCCCAAGTTGTGATTTGTTGCAGGCAGCAATGCCAAGAGGTATATTAGGTGATATAAAAATGATACACAGATCACACAGTTTATCATTTATACTGACACTGACTGAAGGTCCTAGGAGGATCAACCTTTAGGCACCTTTCTCTGATGATGCCCAGTATATAGGGACATTTTTCCTTTTTTATATTTAACTTAAGTTCTTCTAGAAATATTTATTTAAAATAATTTTTATGTATTTGAGAAGCAGAGAGAAAAAGAAAGCTCTCATCTGCTATTTCACTCCCCAAATATCTCTGAGTGTCAGAGCACCATGCTTTGTAATCTCTCCTTCACTTTTCTAGACCATGCCCTGCATCATATTTTACATTGTATTTTGTTCTGTCTTCTGTACTTACTGTGTACCTGTTAGCATTGTGTTTATTATGACAATATATACGCAGACAGGTAGACCCATTGTCAGTGAACTAAAGCTGTTTAGTTGAGAGCATTTTTTTTTAATTGAAAATATACCTCTAATTGATTAGGTTCCCACTGATCTTTTGCCATCACAAGGTTGTAAACATTCTGTACTTTGTCTCTTTCTCTGAGGTATCTGTGACCTGTTCATGTTTCCTTGAATTTGTTGATATCCTGTGATTTGTCCACGTTATCCTCTGTGTTTTGCTGAAAGCCTGGCATTGAGTTGGAATTCAACAAATCTGGATATCTGGGTTGTATTAGGCAACAACCCGCAGGGTGTTGCCGATATAGAGACTTAGGAGGTGTTTTAAAGGTGAACTTCCTGTTTTGGTTGGGTGGCAGGAGATGATGCGTATCAGTGTAACATCACAGAAGTTACTTTTCCAGAGAATACTGTTAATACCAAGCAGTCATGCGTTATTACTCTCAGGTATATATGTATGTGTGTATGTGCTATGTACAATACAGTATTACCTACTTGCATTTTAACGTGTTGACTCAAATGTTTTTAAGTTATGTTGCTATAAAATTAACAAATCTGTGGGGTTTTGTTTTTATGAAATTGTTACTCCCTATTATTCTCTATAATGTTTTTGTTAGAAATTTCAACTTGTTTTTCTCCACAGGCAGCAGAAGATGTCATTTTCATTGGACCTGACACACATGCTATTCAAGCTATGGGTGACAAGATTGAAAGCAAATTGTTAGCTAAGAAGGCAAATGTCAACACCATCCCTGGCTTCGATGGGGTAGTTAAGGTGAGAAACTATTTAACTCTCATCTTTGTAATACATATTTTAAAGTCAAACATTTTATTTGGAAACATGAGATTTAATTTATTGCTTTTTTTTTTTTTGGGTGAAATGTAGATTTGAAAAAACCAGTGCTGTCTGAACTCAGATAATTTTAAATGGTGTATGGCAATCTTGAATTACATGTTCAAAGGAAAAAAACTTGGTGATTTAAAGATATTTTGTCAGGGGCTGGCGCTGTGGTGCAGCAGGTTAAAGCCCTGGCCTGAAGTGCCAGCATCCCATATGGGCATCGGTTCCAGTCCCAGCTGCTCTTCTTCTGATCCAGCTCTCTGCTGTGGCCTGGGGAAGCAGTAGAGGATGGCTCGGATCGCTGGGCTCCTGCACCCATGTGGGAGACCTGGAGGAAGCTCCTGGCTTCGGAACGGCGCAGCTTCGGCTGTTGTGGCTGTCTGGGGAATGAACCAGCAGATGGAAGACCTCTCTCTCGCTCTCTGTCTGTCTCTCTCTCTGTAACTCTTTCAAATAAATAAAATCTTAAAAAAAAAGTGTTCTGTCAGATCTCTGAATTTCATTTAATGCTGGTTTATGTTTAGAGTAGTGTTTGAACTGTGATGTTTTCTGTGTATCTTTTCCATGGTCCCCTCTCCATATGCGTAAAATGTACATTGCAGTTGTGTTTCTGTTGAGAGTGGTGTAGCTAGCAACAAGTCGTGATCGCAGACATTCACAAGTAGCTTGTTTAGCTGAAGGCATCTGAGGAATAAATGTAGAAATTGGAGTGTATCACTTTTTAATCCCTAGGAAAAATGACTTACTTTTTACTGTTAGAGTACCTGTGTAGAATTTCTGTCTTGTGATTTAAGTTGTTCTCAAGAACTCTTCATCTCAGTGCTTGAGGACTTTTGGCATTTCGTGCTGGACAGTTTTTCATTATGTGGGGTTGTTTCATGCACTGCAAGATGGCCAGAAGGCGTGGGCTTGCTCGGTAAATGTTGTCAGCTTCTGGCCCCAGCTTACCTACACAGTTTGCCCTCCACATCCTGGGGTTCCACAGGTGCCAGCTGAACCAACTGTGGATTGAAAATATTCAGGAAAAAATTCCATCTGTTCTGAACATGTACGTGTTGTTTTCCTTGTCATGATCCCCTAAACAGTATTGTGCAATGGCTGTTTTTGAGTGTTTACATTTATGAGGTATTGTAAGCTGGAGATGGTGTCAGGTGTCTGGAGGATGTGTATGGGTTATATGCAAACACCTGATTTGAACGAGGGACAGGGGCATCCTCGGGTTTTATTTCTGTTGGGGATTCCGGGACCAGTCCCCAGTGCGCACTGAGAGTGAGCTGAATTCGCCGTTGTCTGTTGATAGTTCCTGCTTCTTTTCCCTTGTCACAAGGAGAGGTGTTGTAGGTAGAGCCACTGCCCCTCATTTACTCTAGAGGTATCCTTTTAAACCTCAGGGGCTATGGGTTTTGCTCATTATCTTTTCTCTTCTTGTGTAGCTTAAAATTCTTCTCTTCCTTTAGTGCTGTTAAAAATGCTCAATCAATAAACATATTCATTATGTGGTTGAGAGGGAGCAATGTGATGGTAAACAAGAGAGACACAATCTCTCACATTCTGGATTTCACAGTTTAGTATTCCTCCATTTGTAATAACCTCTCTCTCTTTTTTAAATTTGTTTGAGTTACATATACACACATAGACGGAGAAAGGGAGAGGGAGAGAGAGAGGAAGAGAAAAAGAGGGAGAGAAAAAGGGAGAGGGAGAGAGGGAGAGAGGGGGAGAGGGGGGGAGAGAGAGAGAGAGAGAGAGAGAGGTCTTCCATCTGCTGGTTCACTCCCCACTTGGCCAGAGCTGAGCAGATCCAAATCCAGGAGCTTCTTCCAGGTCTCCTGTGTGGTCTCAGGGGCCCAAGGAGTCGGGCCATCCCCTGCTGCTTTCCCAGGAGCATTAGCAGGGAGCTGGATTGGAAGTGGAGCAGCTGGGACTCTAAATGGAATCCATATGGGATGCTGGCACTGTAGGCCAGGGCTTTAACCTGCTGTACCACAGTGCTGGCCCTATTTACCTCTCTTCACTTCATAGCTATCACCTTCTTTCTCTTGCCTTTCATAGTCAAGCGTTGGAAGAATTGTCCTTACTTATTTTTGTGTCCACACCTTTCACTTAATCTTTAAGGCTAAATTCTTTGCTCTTTTCTGCTGAACTTCTCTTGTAAAGGCAGCCAACAACCTCTCCCTTTTACTAAATCCAAGATATCATTTTTATTCCTGTCTTGCCTCAGTCTTTTAGAAGCAGTTGAGTTTCTTAGCCACTGTTTCCTTCTTGAAATGTTCATTTCTGCACATCACAAGTTTTTGTGTTTTTTTTTTTTGCTTGTTTGTTCCTTAGGTTTTTTTTTTTTTTTAATTTATTTATTTACTTGAAAGACAGAGAGAGGAGAGGTGGAGAGAGAGAGAGAGAGAGAAAGAGAGAGAGAGATTGATTGATTGATTCACTCCCCAATTGGCTGCAACGGCTGGAGCTGCGCCGATCCGAGGCCAGGAGCTTCTTCCTGGTCTCGCACGTGGGTTCAGGGGCCCAAGGACTTGGGCCATCCTCTACTGCTTTCCCAGGCCATAGCAGAGAGCTGGATAGGAAGTGGAGCAGCCGGAATTGGAACCAGAACCCATATGAGATGCTGGTGCTTCAGGCCAGGGTGTTAACCTGCTGTGCCACAGCGTCGGCCCCATTTTAAAATTTTTTTAAAATTTTTAAAGTGTATTGGACCCCTGCAGCTGTGTGGGAGACCCGGAAGAAGCTCCTGGCTTCGGATTGGTGCATCTCTGGGCGTTGCTGCCATCTTCTACTGCTATCCCAGGCCATATCAGAGAGCTGGATGGGAAGAGGAGCAGCCAGGACTAGAACCGGCGCCCATATGGGATGTGGGTGCTTCAGGCCAGGGCGTTAACCTGCTGTGCCACAGCTCCAGCCCCGAATTTTTTTTTTTTTTTTTTTTAAACCTGAGGGTCTTAGTCCTAGCCACAAGGAAATAAAATCTCCTTCACCCAAATGAACTTGACAGATTTTCTTCTAGTTTGAGCCTTTGATGAAAATACAACCTGACTCACTCCCAGCTACAGCTGTGCAAGGCTCTGAGCAGAGTATGACGACTTTTCCCTTTATCATGACTTTTGTCAGTTGTTGGGCTAAAGCCTTTCTTTACCTTCTTGTTTCAGAGGTTTGTGTGGGTTTAGGTAGGGATTTGTGAACCTTGATCTGCTCAGCCCAAACACTTTGGTCAGTATAATTATTTTTCTCTAACAGGGAATCTGGTCTTTCTGAGAGCTCCTGTTTGGGCTGAAGTTAGTCGCAGGTCCTGATGAGTGACAGTCTAAATGGATTCTATCTTGATGATGAATAGTGGAGTCCTTGGTTTCCACAGAAAGGCCAGTAGGAGAACACTTGATCTGGCAATGATTTTTGCAGAGTAAAACTTCCCTTTTGAAGTTAATGGGTACAGTGGAGAGACTGCTCCTTGGTTGAAGGCCCTTGAGTGACAGCTGTGGCCTGGGACATGGGAAACGTGAGGGGTCTTATTGACACCTCTCAGTTGAGTTGTTTGTTGACGCTGAGGGAGTGCTTGTGTAACAACAGCAGGACTTCAGGTTAATACTGCATCACTGCATCAGTAAACATTCACACGTTTCTCTACTAATAATTAGTGAGAATTCTTTGGAGTTAGAGGTAAAAGGGGAAATTGGTCCTGTCACTGTTAGAGCTTTGCCTACTCTGGTTTATTTTCCTGAATTCTCTTGATAATACAGAACAGTTTCTCCATTGCCATTTCTGTTTATAATATCTGCAGATGTCTTTATTAAAAGATGGATGTTTAATTTCTGGACTGGGACATCTAGATTTTCTGTAGATCCTTCAGCTTATACTGGATCTTATTGTGCTTTTGTTTTCAAACTCTTTCAGAAAGTATAATAGAGAGTTGAAAAATCTGATAATCTGGACTTTTCCTAACAGGGAGTTGATAAAATTTCCTGTTCCTGCCTTAACAGAGTCGGTTAGTGTGCGGAGGGAGCCGAGTTCCGCTCTGTTTCAAGGCCGACTCCGCAGCGCTGCCTGGGGTGGTGACGAGCCAGCCGGGACATCTCCAGGGGGCGTCTCCTGTCTGTCAGCAGCACGGATGGCCATTGCTTCTTTTCACAGGAATGATTTTGCTGGTAGCCTTCAGAAGACATTGTGGAGATTTATAGTTTTTCTAAACTTAGGTGATTTGCTGTGTGAACTGAGGTCGTTTTCAGAGTATTCCTGTTCTCCCCTTCCACTCAGGATTCTCTCTGAGGTGCTTTGTAGCCATCTGGGCAAATAGACACAAATCTGGGGAGCGCAGATCCCATATTCCTAGAGGATTCTCAGCTTCTTGTATAGGCTTGGCAAAGTCTTTGACAGCGCCCCTTAGTGCAGAATGCGTTTCCCCATTCTCCCAGGGTTTCGTTTTCAGAGGTAATGTGTCTTTTAGGGTGTCTGGCCAGCCAGAAGGTGAGGGCACAGGTTGGAGGAAGAAAGCAGGGCAGAAACAATGGAGGGCATGGGATGGAGGGTCAACACTACTGGGTTCAAAAGGAGTTACATTTCCCCACGTTTCATTTTGTTCTTCTTATACCTTTCTTCTTCCTGTGAATCTTACCTTCTTCATGAGGCTTGTGGTATGAGGAAAATATTTTTTAAAAAGCCAAAAAATCTGGAAATAAGCTGTGTCCTAGCAATTAGGAAGTACAATATTAAGCATGAGTGTATTTTTTCCTGCTAAGCCAAGAATAATTGATTTTCCTGATGATGCCTAAAGGCTCTTTTTTTTAAGGCTCTATTATGTTTACTATGCTATTCTTACAATTAGAGAAAAGTGTACTACACTTTTGAAAGGTTTCAAGTATATTAAAACAGTCTTGTGCTTGACTTTTCATTAACTGGAAAACCTAGTCAGCTGGGAGCCATTCTTGAGCCCAGGG